GGAGGTTGTTAGCAGGATCTAACAAAAATTCCCTAATGAGCTCAATTCATCTCACAGGAGCATGATATCATCTATTAATAACAGGTAGGTTGTTAATGGCATGTAATGAGTCGAAAACCACTCAGGAATGTAAAATGATGATTATTGCTACACAGCACTGTGCTCCTAAAGCCATGGATTTCACCTCATATAAAGCTTAATGTCTGAAAGGCCACTGATTTATTCAGCTTATACAAGAGGTCAGGAATTTCTACATACTACCCCCAATCTGAACTTTATGTTTCATACAAGTCCTATAGGAAACAAAAATCTATTATAGAAAGGTGGTGCTGACTCTCTAGCCTTCACCTTTTCTCTACCCCTGAAATCAGGTTTCACATTCTGTCCTCTGAGAGGATATTTTATGTTTTAAAACCAAAGTAGCCCCCCAAATATTTTTCTATAATGATCCTATCAATGCAAAGAGAATGTTGCTGTACCAGAGTCAGAAAATAAAGTATGTCTTCTGCTGACACCCTCTAGCCTGTCATCAAAAACACCCTTAAAAATTACAACCTTAAATTTTCCTGCAAACTCTCTGAGCAGCAGTGGACTAAGGACAGGCTTTGGAGTCAAGGCAGCATGAGTTCAATTATAGCCCCTGAGATGGCATGAGGCTTTGCTACCGTGCAGTCACCTCTCTTGTAAGGTGCTATACCTCCCAAAACACTGTGAGAACTAAGTGGGACACTACATGTAAAGCACCTGGCACAGGGTTGAGAAAGAAGCTAGTACTCAATCAGTGGCATTTGTTTCTGGTTTTGTCCTGCTGACAATGCTAACAAAAATAAAGCTAGGTGAAATTATAATGGAAACTTACTCCCTATTTCTGGCCACCTTGGATCTGCAGTTATAAATAAAATGACTCTCCACTGGCATAACTACCTACAGTAGATTGTTCTACAAATAAACAAAACAACAACAAAAAGTTAATTTCAAGATGAGAATTCTCAAGTAAGAGAGGTGAGTTAAACTGCTGTCAAAATGAACAGCAGTTCTTCAGAGAAGCTACAAGATTTTGAAAATTTTCCCCTTTGGTCTACATGGCTTGAGGCAGCAGTCTAGAACAGATGTTCCCTCTTTAGCTATTGTAACAAGGCTCTCATGGCACCAAAAAAAAAAAAAAAAAAAAAACCCAAAATCACTGAAGAGCTATATCTATACAAATTAGAGCAGTTGCACATTTAATAGGACTTAAAAGAATATAGTCATATACAGTACAGACTCTGGAGCCACAAAGCCTGGGCCAGCACATTGGCTCCTTGCTAGTTGTACAATGATGGGCAAATCAGGATCTCTGTGGGCCTCAATTTTCTCATCTGTAAAAGAGGAACCACAGGAATACCATATCTAGTTTGGGGAAGGATTACATGAGTGGTCACAGCCCTGGAAAATGGCTGGTACTACATGTGTTAGTTATTAAAGCATGCCACTCAATGATCATCTGTTATTCAACAAATTTATTATATGCCATGAGACACACCGTAGAGACACAAAGGGAAATAAGATAGACACAGATTTTATGAGAGGCAGCAAATTTAGAACAGAGGTCAGAGGGTAAATATAATTTAGCCAGACAATTATGGAGTGCTCCAGCAGAGTAAACAGTATGCAAAGCGACCTAAATCCAGGCAGAAATATTTCATGTATGGAAAACTGCCCAAAGTGTGTGGAGTAAGGACATAATTCCAAATCACTTCATGTAAAATAAAATGGACCTTTATGTTATAGTAAAACTTGCTTTTCAAGACCATGAGGACACCTAAATGCCAATGGATAAAATAACAATGGAAATATTTAATAGTATTTTTAAATAAAATATATATTTTTGCCTATCATATTAATATGAGTTTCTAGAACAGACTTTCAGTACATTAAAATTCTACATCTGTAGCTACAGAACAAATATTTTCTGAATACTGACTTATTCAACTTAATCTGGTTCCCAAAGATGAATAATATGAAACTACTAAATAGCAATCTCCAAGAAATCAGAACACTGACTAAACAAGGGATTTGTCGCTAATTTTAGTCAATATTAATACACTGGAATTTTTGAAGATATGTTTTTTTCCAAAATTCAAGCAATATAATCATATACACCCATCCCTGCCAAAAAATAAAAAATAAAAGAGAACAAAAAATGCGTACGTGAAGTGTCACCACATTTATATAACCATTTCATGTTCAGTCTTCTTTATTCTTATTTTAGTCTGAAGAAAATTTCTTCTCCAAGAAGAACTATTTCTTATTTAGATACTTTAAGCTTAGTAGTAACAATTTTAATTTCATGTGGTGTGTGCATGAAAGTTTGACAGCACCTACTTCTACAACATATGAGACTCTGAAATAGGTAAAACAGAAGGCACTCTGTTACCCATTTTTTTGCCCTTTGCTCTCATTCAAATACTTTCTCCCTCAACCCACTATTTAGTAGTGAAGATTTCAAGTTATCCATAGAATGCCAGAAAGCCCCCTAATCTTTTTAAAACTTGAGAAGATTTGGAATTAGACTTGGATTCAAATCCCAATTCAGTAACCTATAGGCAACATCAGTTTTGTATAATTAGGAAATTCCCCAAATGCCAGTATTCTTATTTCTAAAGTGGAACACAAACTATAGAATACAGAAGGCAGAGCGATTCAGTTTGAGTGAAGACTCTTGTGGAAGAATACATGAGTTCAAATTCTAATTGCATCATTTTATAGCAGTATGACACTGAGCTAGATATGTTCTATTTCTGTCTCAGTTTCCTCATCTGCTACACAAGGATGGTGAAAGCTAAAAATTTTAGAATCACTGAGATGTTTGACTGAGATAATACATGTAAAGAATTTAGAAGAATGGACCATAGACAATCATACATTCAGAGAAAATAATATGTGAAGTGTATTATTATTATCATATATCCATTTTATCCTGTAATTGTCAGGGATCCCCCCCAAGATCACCCCCAGGTATGATAATTTGCTAGATAGATTCACAGAACTCAGAAAAAGGCATTATACTCCTGTTATAGTTTATTAAGTGAAACACAAGATTAAAATCAATAAAGGAGGAGGCTGGGGTTGTGGCTCAGCAGTAGAGTGCTTGCCTAGCATGTGCGAGGCCCTGGTTTCAATCCTCAGCATCATAAAAATAAATAAAATAAAGTATTGTGTCCAACTACAACTAAAAAATAACTATTAAAAAATCAATAAAGGAAAAAGCTATATAGGGCAGAGTCCTGGCTAAAGCAGGTGCAACTTGCAGTTGTCTCCTCCCAGTAGAATCCAACAGGGCTTATTATCCTAGGAATAATATGTGACAACATGCACAAAGGAAGTACTGCCAAAGAGGGAATCTCACCTGAGCCCTGATGTCAAGGACTTAATAAATTGCCTGTATGATGGATCTGAGCTACTCAGTCTCCAGGCCCCCAAGAGACCAACAATGATACAGTGTAGTCCAGGGCACCGCATGATCAAAAATTGGTGTTCACCTTTCAGCATAGTCCATCTAGGTTGATCTCAGATTCTAGGTGTATAAAGAAACCCTTATTGGGCAGGAGATTCCAGGGTTTAGAGGTACTCTCTCAGAAGACAGTCAAGAGCTAGACTTTTCTTGGAATAAGAAGTTATATGAATGAGCACCCAGCACCCTTTGAAATAACCTTTTCTTGCATGATAATTTATTGAGCAACTAAGATTGCCAGAAACTATTTTGATATATCATTTCACTTAACAATTATACAGTCTTTCAAGGAAGAAGATTAACATTTCTTTTAAAAATATGGAAACTGAGGCTCGGGAAGGTTAAATGAGTGTTCATAGCCACAAGATTGGGGTGGGATTCAAATCTAGCTCTCTCAGACTACAGAGATTTTGAACTGTTTCCACCAAGCTATGTTGCCTCAGAAAACATAAAATTTAAAACAGTATGTTGTATAGAACATGACATAGATACATCATAATATATATAAATCTAACCACAAAATTCACATCTTATAGTGAAAAACCTAATTTAGGGACTCACTTTGAATTTGTGGAGAAAATAAACTGGAGCTATAAGTAAATATGTATTTACTGTAGACTGGTTTTCCTTTAAAATTATGGGTTTTTATTATAAGACTATCTAATCTTTCCTAAGTGATTATAACCAAGTCCAGGAAAGTCAGCAATAAAGTTTTCCTAAGATTTATAAGAACCAGTTCTTTAAAATTCAATCTTCTTTTTCTTTATGCCTCCAAACTTTTTAATCCTTACAAACATTTGCTGAAATATAGAAATGAATTACCCATTTATTAAGAATAACAATTTTTTCCTTGTAGAAGTATATCACCAGTTTCCCCAGGGAGGCAACAATGCCTTCTCAATTTATTATGTGTGTGGTTCCCCCCACCCCCACCCCATCTAATCAGCTAATACTTTTCAAAAGATCTTTTTAATGCCTAAATGAAAGGATTCCACATCAAAGACCTGACCTCCCTATTAAATTATCTGAAGGAAACCCTAGGAATGTAAAATCTATTCAAAGGAAAATCACAGGTAGCTTATTGTACAATGCATTAAGAAAAGAAAAGGAAAAAAAGCTTCATAAGAGCTGCATGGAATTTGGTAAAATTATACCACAAAAATACAAATCGATCTTAAGTATAAAGAAACAAATTCATAGCCAAAAACTTATTACAAAAGAGTTCTGTAATCAGCCAGGAGGGAGCCTTTATGAAAAACTTCAGAATTTGTCACTTTTTCAATCACAATTGCTGATTAAAGCTTAATGTTGGAAAGCCCAAAAAGAGAACAAACCACATATTTTTCAATAGATTTAAAATCTGAAATTTTAAAGGTAACATTCAACATCAGAATGTTGCATGTTTGCTACTTGTTACAGATAACAATGAGTAGAATGAAATAATGAAATAACAGATGAGATAGTATAGAGAAAAATACTTAAAAAAAAATTAAAATTTTTGCCATACCATGAATGTAGTCCTGAAGTTATTTAAGTCAGTAAAAAAGTCTTCTACAGACACCTTCTTCAAATCAATGGCATAATATACCATTATACTCTGGTACAATTTTTCCATGTTTTCAAGTAACTTTGAAAGTTTCCCATATTGTTCTTTTGCAGTGATAACAAAGCTGTACATTATAGTTAAGGTATTTTGTAATTTACAAACTGAAGCTTTAGGCATGAAAATACACTCCAAAATTTCAGTCTAATTTTTAGTCACCATACCTTCCTCTACAAAATTCCAAGATTACCTTAACAGTCATCCTTACAAAGACAGTATAGATGATATAGAAAAAACATTTAAATTTAATTTCTAATTAACTTTGGCAAAATATCAGAAAACTCAAATATTTTTATATTTAATACTTCTATTTTATAACTGAGTTTTAAAAAATTCCAATTTACTCAAATAATAATCTATAACATGAAATTATAGCTTGGCAGTTCAAACTGAGTAACTGGAATGATATTAAAATCAACAATCAACCCCATTGAGTACAGCAATGAAGTTGGACAAGTTGGGGTCAATTCATACCTCCTATACCTGGTAGCAGTGTACCTGTGGAAAAGTCTTCCCTTCATTCTGCCTTGATTTCACCATCTGTAGGATGGAATAACAATACCACCCAACTCATAAAGTTGCTGTGAAGAGTAAATGAGTCAATACTAGCAAGGTTCTTAGAAATGTGACTAGGCACTTAGTGGCATTAGTCACTAATTCAATTCGATAGTCATTGATAGTTGAATATATGTTCTAAGAAAACCATGGCATTTCCTTCACTGTGCAACAAATTGCTGATGCAATCAGATATAAGATCTTGATGCCATATTCTGAAAGACTGTTCTTAGAGGATTAGTTATAACTTCCTATGGTTCCTTGAAATTGGGACATTCAAAGAAACAGAACATACAGAGTTAAATTCACAGAAGTCATGTTAGTATCTTTGACTAATGTACATATATAAACAGACTTTAGCAAAATTTAAACTGAATTAAGTTAAATGAATTCAGGCTATGAGTAAGAAACCTAAAATAAAATGTTTGTATCTGAGAAAAAAAAAATCTCACAACTAAAAAAAAGTTCTTCCCAGTAGAGAACAAAATAAGGAAACTGAGGCAGGCCCTTTATTTTGAGGAAGGGAATAAAAGAATCAATAAAAAAAGAGAGACCTTGCTGCTGCCAGGTAGGGAATGAATCCAGGACACAAGAAACAATTCTAAAAATCAGAGCCTGACCTCCCCACAGGCCCTGAGGCAGCCAGTCAGTCACAGCTCAACTCTGTAATCCCTAACAGGGGATACCCAGGGGATCTGTTTCCCTTCTATTTCTGTTTCTTTTCATACTATGCTGTGCTGAGTAGCATATGTAGTATTTCAGAAGGAAAAGTGGATAGAAGGTGGAGAACCTGGATTCTAAGGCAAGAGCTGGTCTTTTTAATGACCTTAAGATCTATATGTGACTCAGCTTTTATGTTCATTCAAATAGCAACATGCCTCTCTACACTTACTAGTGTAGACTTTAATACTGCCGGTAACTGGTACATTTACTTATGATATCACTCTGCAATTCTTGGATAAGTAACAAAACATTTTGTATAATTAGTCAAACCACAAAATTGCAAGAGATCATAAAACAGAATCACATAAAACAGGTTTCCATATGTAATATCAATATTCATGAAATATTATAGGTAAAGTGGATTTATGTAAATAAAGATCACATTTGAAATGCATGCAGAAACTATTATTAAATAGAATATATAGTTATTCATCTATAACGTGAAATAAACATTCAGAACTCAACACTGATTTATAAATGGTTTTACATAATCAATAAGCTCTCACCTAAAATTATTTATGTCCCAAATTGAAAATATGCATTATTTATATATTCTTAATTCCTACCTAAAAGAAAAACTCACTTCTGTCTTTTCTTGTTGAAACTTATCAATGAAGAATTTCTTCAGTTCTTTCTCTTCCATGATACATTCCTCTGATCTCCACAGTTTTGAGTAGCCATTTGTACCAGTAGACCACAGCATTTGTAGTCTATTGCACTTACCTGGAAATTTTTCTGGCATATTTTTACTGCCAGATCTATAATTAAGTTGTGAGTTTTCCTTTCTAATCTTAATTCTTTAGTGAGGCTTTGTTCTCACCACATTTCTAACAAGTGTGGTCACCTCTTACTTTCTGTTCATTCTCTAGACACTATCTAACTTCATTTAGTCATCTGCAATGATATTGGTTCCAATTACATATTTCATCCTACTACTATTATTCTTCCTCTTTGAGGAGAAAGGAAACAAGTGTCCCCCCAAATTACTTAACAAAAATCCATGGAATGCCTTACTCATAAAATTGCACATATTCATGCATAGGCACACACATAATTTGGATGTAAAGAGCTAACAGAATTACTAAAGATTACCTACCCTAGAAAATAGGTTAATGACATTATTTTGGAGAACATCTATGATTAGATGATTCTATAACTACTTCTTTGCTGCCCCTATCACTGCTTATAAGATTTTGAGTTTTAAGAATAGGTACTTCACAAATACTGATAATTTTATTCTCGAGAATCTGGTAAACAAATGAAAATAAAGCAAACACCTTTTTTTTAGATTTTCAGGTAATAATCATAAGTAATGAAATATCAGAAATGTCTGTGCAGATTTATAAAACAGAACAATTTTATTAAAAGATGTGATGAAAAAGATGACTGAGAGCTAGAAGCATGGAAATGACATGGTTTTGTTCTAACAGCTAGAGAGCTTTTAAGTCAATTTTCTTATCATTATTACATATAAAGCAATTTGCTGCCAAAGGAAATGAAGTGGGGCTTTGAGTAACTGGAATTACCCACAAGAATGGCAAAATCGTGATTAAACTGAAACAATTTTGGAAATAGCCAAATTAATCCTTGGAAGTTTAAAATGACTGTCTGATAGGATGGAATAACTGGTTACACGAACGAGGCACACTATGTCAGTACTGAAGGGCTACTCTCATTAAGGGATGGTGAAAGATCCAGATAAAAAATCATCATCATCTGAAAGAAAAATAAGTGAAGCTGCTAAACTCTAAATAAATGTAACATCCATGTCAGCAATAGCTGGGCTTTAATTATCTTTTTCCAAGAATAAAATCTTTTTTCACAGAATAAAATTATATATGCAAAGAACTTTAGAAAAACATTGTAAGATACTCAACAAAATATACTTTTGAATAAAGTCATGCAAAAATATTTACATTCTAACTGCATGATGTTTTATGAAATCTATTTTTTTTCTTGACCTTAAATAAAATTCAGGACAAATTCTCAGTCATTTCTAAGTGAATCAGTATAATCTTCCCATTTGAAAAACATATGACAACTATGTTCATATGCATTGAAATACAAGTATTTAATGTTTAGCATGACTCAGATTTGGCAATTCTCTTCTGGTCTGCCAGTGGTGCATACTCCCAAACTATCTACCAGACATATATTTCACATTTATTCTCTGGTTATATTTTCATTATTGTATTTCTGCCATCTGCAATAATAAGTCTTCCAAGGACCAGCTTCAATCAGTCCCTTGTGTTTAATAATTTGGCTACACTGTCCTAGGATCCAGTCTGCCCTTCAGTCAGTATTCCCAAAGTTCACTGCACTTAAAACACTCTTCTCGAGGGTACAGTCCCTGCAGTTGTGAAACATACATCTTAGATTGTGAAAGCACATAATAAGTAAATGAGATTTTCACATAGTCTAAGAAAAAAGAAGAAAATAAAACTTTTTGATGTCATACAAATCAGAGAGGTTAACTTGATTTGGGTAGTCAAGAAAATCTTAGCTAAACTGACTTAAACAACAAGGCATGATGGTAGAAGAGCAGCCAGCACTAAGTGGTATAGCATTCTCATATAAATAGAATAAGACTGAGGAAATGAAAAGATAATTACAAATTAGAGGATTCATAGAGGAAAAAAAGCAGGCTATTTAACCTGAATCTTAAAAGTTTGTTGAGAATGGGTTAAGTGAAAAAGAGAAAAGAAGAGAAGAAGGGAAGGAGACAGAAGACTAACTCAAGAGAAGAAAAATTTGCTACAATAATTCACTTAATTACCCCCTTTTCCACTGCTTCAACTGGATTGTGATCATACATTACACAGGTTTACATTTCATCCATTGCAATCTTATATTTTACGTTCTAGATGTAATTCAACTAAAGAAAAAAACGTTCTAATTTCCTTTACCTGAAAATGCTGTACTTTCTGTAGTACAGAACACAGATACATGATATCAGTCTTTCAATGAATTTACTGGAATGGTTTTAGCATCTACCCCATAATTTAAGAAGTGCCTAAAATATTCCTGTACAGTGGAACAACAATAAAGAAAAGTATGAAAGTAAAGGGAGATTTGGATGAAGAAATTTTTACAAATATAACACAGGATTGAATCAGGTAACTTGTCATATAAGTTGTGATAAATAAAAAAAATATATAAGTGTTTAACAAAATGATTTTTTTTTCTCAGACTCAGGAGAGGGGGTAGAAAGAAAATAGAAAAGCGAGTGGCCTTTGGAAGGAGACTATCAAGGGCATGCTCTAAGATCTACTTGTTATTTTCCTAAAAATAAGAAATATTAAAGAATTTAAAGGTCAAAAGAAAGGAACAGGGACTACATGACATAAATCATTGCATTTTCTTAGTTTCTCACTGGTAAGAATTTAATAAGTATGTACTACACATACAATAGCTTGTATATAACAACAATGTTGATCCTACCTCAAATTTGTATTCCACATTTTTCAAGTAAATATTTACTGTGGAACTATTCAACACTAATTATAGTTCTGACCAGGCTTAGCAACTGGAAAATAATAATTATTATGAAAAAGCCAATGATATATGAAATAACTGTGCATGACTTTTAAAGGAAGTACTAAATTCGTATTTTCATGTTACAAAGTAGATGTTAACAAAGAGCATGCACTAGAATAATAAAAACACAATATACTGTAAATTGACTGCTATATATATTTGTTATGAAATTTCATAACAAAATTCTACATTTATAATTGAAAACAATTCATGTAACAGATTATTTAATAGTTCAGGAAATCATGATTGTTTAAAGTAAATATGTACTTCTAAAGACTCATCTTTAACAAATTCAATAATGCATATATTCTTTTGAATTGGTTGATGAACCAAACATTTGACATGTGGCTCAACTAATAAACATTTAAACATAAAACATAAAGTGTGAGTGTTAAGAACTTAAACTTAATACATTTTTATTTATTGTGCATTTTAGCTTCCAAACGCTTCCATTTTCTAAGATCTTAGAGGCTCACAATTTGCCATTTTAATAAGATCTGTATAAAAGCGTTTAATATTCAAAATCTGACTTGTTGTCAGTCCTAATTAAAGTAAACAAAGTCTTGCAATGAATGAATTTAATTACTTCAAAACTAGTATGTCTTACTAAGATGAAAAGCAAACGAGTGCAATCTAATCTCAGCAAAGAATATTTATGATTATAAGCTTTGTCAATAGCAAAGTGCACCAACTGTTCATATATCTGACTTCCAAGAGATACATGAATGCTAATCAGTTCATTAGAGGCTTCTAGGTTGTGATATTTAGCGACAGGATATAGTAGCTTTCTTGTCCATGGAGGATAATTGTACTCAGAATGAAAAATTGTTTCCAACAAAGCATCATCCTTCCTGTTTCTGATTTCCTGCTGGTTGCTTTTTATGGGCTTCATACCTTTCAAGAAGCCGACATCATTCAGCTTATTATGTCACATGAATACAAGTATGAATACGTCCTGAGATGGTCTGCTGAGCAGGATCCTACCACCTTTACTCCCAGCTCAGGCATTCTTGTTAGGCAGAGAAGCCTAGGCTCCATAATTAGCGCACTAACAGCATATTACCAGAAGTTATAGTGGAAATCCTTACTAAAATAGTTTCTACCCATAGGGCACACACAAAAAAAGCATTTCAATTAACAGATACTTAATGACATAATGATAAACTCACATATGAGCATTTTAACATTACAAGATGATTGGGGAGGGGAGGGGAAGGGAAGAATGATGAAACTGTTAAAACTGCAATAACATTTATTTTAAAAAAGCAATCTTTGACGAAAGAGAAGGTAGTGCAAAAATGTATTCTTGATGGATAAATACAGACTTTAGTTTTAAAAAGAAAACAAAAAATGAGAGCTTTACTCACTATAGTGATAAAGGCATGCTCCCTAAACAAGGAATGGAATGGGTAAAAAACATGAAAGGAAACAAACCATGTTAGTCTAAATTGATTGTTGCTGGAGTGCATTTTTATGATATTTCCCAACAGAGACAGTGAAGGAAGCTAAAATTGAACTAATTCACAATTAAGCTGAAAGCATATACAATATAATCTATGACAAGCCAAATAATAATTTTGTGATTCATTAAATCTCAAGGGAGAAGAAGTAGAAAGAGGAAAAGTAGTCATTTTATTTCAAGTACTTCAGTTTAAAATAAAATATTAGGAGTGTCTATTTATAAGAACTCATGTTAGAAGTTGGTTACACTTTCATATAGAATTCAGAAGCCCATATGGGATTTTAATAATTCATTGTAATAATATTTCATTAAAACACAAAAGATATCAGTCTCTTAATTTCATATAATGGTTTGCAAAGTGATTCAACTTTAGTTTTAGGAAATAAAAAAAAGAGTTCATTACTTCAGTTACTCATTAGCGATTAAGCTACAAAATTAGTGATAACAAAGACACCTGAAAGCAAAGAAAGCCTTAAATCAAGCAAGAAATCAGTCTCATTAATTTATATATCTGCCAATTTTTAACATGGGTGAAGAAAATATAAACCTAAGTAGTGATTGTGACAAACTTCATTTTGATCTTGGACTGTGCAGTATTTTGAAATGAAATATTAAATTTTGTGTATCAAGAGTTAATTTCTAATATATATCAACCCTTGAAGCTGACTAGTCACACCATGAGTTTATAGAGGCTATCTCAGTTTTCTGAAATATGTCTACAGTACCTAAATCTCATCATAGCTTTACCCTCAAAGTTCTCTTGAGTTTCAATATTCTTTATCATAAACATCACAAGAAAGTAAGGCAAATGAATGGGAGAAGATGGGAGAATATGCTGTTATCCAAGTAGATAAAAAGAAAGGGGAAAAAATTCAATAGAAATACATGGTGTGTTACTCATGATGAACACTTAAATTTTCCTAAAAGAAGGCAAAGGTTAAACATCTACAATTTGACACTTCAGAATGATCTTTGGTTATATAAAGACATTTAAAACATTAAAAAAATTGTACTTCTACTTGATAGTGACTTAAATTCATTTAGATATCAAAAGGATATGGACATCTTTGTCACAAACTTGTCATGCATGTCCTCAGGAGGGGGAAAGGTTTCCAAATCTTTCTCAAGCTGTTGAAGCTGCCTTCCCATCTGCTTCAAATTCTTTTCCAGCATTTCTACAGAGACTAAAAGAGAGTATATTAAATGCCTTCAAAGGACAAAATTATAATATATAAAAGGTACAATCTAGAAACATAACATTTTTTAAAACCCCATAAGAAAATTTATTATTAAAAAATTGAGTGTCACAGTTTTTAACCTTTTAATTTGTTAAAAAAAAGTTGTAAAGTCAATAATAAAGTACTTAAAATATAAGACAAAAGAAGTTTAGGAAATGTCCACATGAATAAATAACATTTAAGAAATAAGTTTTATTTAAAATTAGAGCTCTTGACCACTACAAATATTATAAAATAATCATACTATTCAGACAGACAAAGAAAACCAATGTTTTAAAAGTAAGCTTACATAATTCTGAGGTTTCAAAAGAATCTCTTGAGGAAACAGTGAATAGATGATAAAGATGAAGAAAAGTGGCTTCTATCGTATGAACTAATCCATAATAGTAAACAAAAGGTCTCAGAGGCTATTTACAATAACAGATGTCAAGCTTTCTTTACTGAAGCTATGAGCACAATTTGCATTTATTATTACCAGTTAATATTTTCCTTCTTGGAATTAAGTTTGCTCTCACAGCACACACAACTAACCAATAGTAAACTGAGACACAGAGGTAGCATCAGAACATACTGGGGCAGCACAGCAAAACAGACAGAGATCATTAAGAACAATTTCCCAAATCTTTGCCTTGTCTATCTTACATGACATTAGCATCAAAAGTTACCAATAATGAAAATAAAATGGCCCAAACCAACTTTTTGTATATTTCCTTTAGGTTTAAGATGAATTTTAGTTTAAAAAAAGAAAAAAGATTTTACAAAAGATTTCTGGTTCCTTTCAATGAAAATTATATAAAACAATGTTTCACAAAATTAATCCAATATAGTTTGTCATTTTCAGACCTGGAATTAATCCTGAGGAACAGGACAAATCAAATATTACCTATAAAGAAAGGAACATCCTTGAAAGGGATCTAAATGTTTAAGAAAATGGGTCTGAGTTTTTAAAACATATAGTTTAAAATTGTCATAAATAGCTTTAAAAACCACTGCAACATAGTCTGTTATTAAAAAAATTAGCAATCTAATTCTCAGATTCAATGTTTATTAAGTCCAATGACTGAACTCTTCATAGAGGCACATATAACATTTGTTTGTCTCTGAAGAATGAGGGTACTTTAACCTTGGTTCCCATTGTGATGAAGCCATTCTGAAGTTATACTCATGCATATTTTCTTACTAGTTTATTTCTCATGCATCCTCTTTTTGTGGTTTTCACAATTGAAATTGGGGCTGGGAGTGTACCTCCAAGGCAGAATGCATGCATCTCATGCAGGCGGCCAGGGGTTCAATCAGAAGCACCAGTAGAAGAAAAAAAAATGCAATAATTGAGATGATGGATTGTATGAAATATTTCCATTATGGTAGTATTTGGTATAGGAATTCAATCTATTTAACTCATGTTCCCCATGTCTTGCTGTACACAGCTCATGATAGTAACATACATTTCCTATGTTATGCTCTTTCATTTTTGTGTCTGCTGGTCAATCTTCCACAACCAGAACATTTATTTGATCAGGTCCATGGTGTTTCACTTACTTTTCTCATTTCCAAATGGTTATTTTGCTTCTTTCAAAGTTCTCTTTCTGCATTACAGAAGAGATTCCTTTTGCTCTCCTAGTCTATTTGATCTCTCCTCTAATGTCTCATTAGCATTTCCTTTATCATTTCTCAGGAAATCTTACAAGTGGTTCAGTCACTTTTAAACTTCTTAAAACTTGAAACTTCTGATTAAATAAATGTTCTAGAACATGCAAGATTTTTATATTAAGTAAATATGTACTAAAAAGGTATATAAGTCATACTTTGTGCTATTAATTAGGTTAAAAATAAGTTAATGTACTATAGTACAATATTATTAGTAATCAATATAACATTATTGATAATGAAAATAATAATAACAGCAGGTAACTCTAGTGAGTGTTTACAAATATTGGGTAATGTCTTTAATGTTTTCCAATAATCAATTCATTTAAAGACAACGTCATGAAGTAGGTGTTGTTATTATCTCCAGTTTACACATGAGCAAACTAAAGCTGAGAGGGTGGGTAAAAAGATCAGGTAACTAAAAAGTGGAAAATTCAGAATTTAAATTCAGGCATTTTGATGTACAGAAATTATTAAGAGAAATTACTTCTTTGTTTTTCATAATCTCTACTCTCCCTATCAATAACATTTAAATAAACAAAACTTATTTTCATATAATTGGTTCGTTGTACATTCATGCTTAGATTAATTACAAGTAATCCAAAGATGACTTAGCCCATGGAAAAATACCTAAGCACTCTGGAAGGATGAATGAACAGTCCTCCACTGACAAAAAGCACAGGGTAAGTCTTTGGAGGGAACATAGTCAGATGTTTGTTTGTTTTTTTCCTGACAGCAAATGTATTGTTCCAACACCAATCAATTCTTTTAACTCTCTAACACTAATTGGATTTCCTACAATTAAACTGAACTCTGACACTACTTACTAAGAGTTAGTGTCATTGTCTTAAGGGCTCAGTCTCACCATACTGCCCTCATATCAGATGCTCCCTGCAAGTCCAAGAGGCCATCCATACTTCTGAAGGACTGGCTATAAATTGGAGGATTCTACAGGTTCCCTCCCTTAAGGCTCATAATTCATAGAACTTAGGAAACCACTATATATACAGTTAAAGTTTTATAAAGGACACATCTCAGGAATAGTCAAATGGAAGAGATTTACAGTATAAAGAATAAGAAGGAGAGGGTAGAACAGATTCCTCACCTGCTCTAGGTACATGCCCTCCCAGCATATCCATGTTCTCAACAACCCAGAAGCTCCCTTAGCCTCTGTTTCATAGTCTTTGTTGAAACTTTATTATAAGTTATTAGAGATTAAATCATTGCCCATTCATGATTTAATTCAATCTGCAGTCCCCCTCTTTCCCTGGATGTCAGGGGCTGGGCTAATATTTCTAACTCTGGAATCATATTATTAGTACCTCTGGAGACCATTCCCCATGAAAGGAAAGGCTTGAGACTTATCCAACTCATTGCTAACCAGTGGGTCAAACTGCTTTCTTCATAATCTGAAGCAACTTCTCCTGGGATCAATTTCCACATCAGTGGAATGGGAAGCATCTCACCATATATTTTTACCTCAGAGATACTTCATAATAGATCAAACCAAATAGTGCAGTATGAAGAAGTTTCTTGAAAAAGAATACACCATGGCTTTCTTATTCCTAAATAAATAAGAAATGAAAAAGCTTAAAGATTTTTTAAAACAAAGTGATACTAGAATGAAAGGAAAAGTAAAATCATCACTACAAGAACCAGGTCAGGAACAGGCTAGTGTGGAAGTCAGCCCAAGAAGAGTTGATATTTTCAACTCTTATGAATGCTGGGGGCATATTCAAACATTTAAGGTCAGCACCATCACTAGTAAGCTATCTTTAAAAATGGTTCTTGCAGCTACTCTATGATGGAAATCTACTAAGCAATCTCTTATGTAGACTTCATCAGCAGTCTCTGATTAGATTACTTGTGCATTATTCTTAAGTGGATTTAAATATAATCAACCAACCTCTCACTGTTGGTTTTTAAATAAGGACCAAAGCACACTTGGAAGGGAGAGAGGAGTGTGTGAATTCTAGGCTAATAAACTATAATCTAATGTTTAGAGTGATCTGATGGATAAAACTAAAGAGGATTTTAAGAATTCCCTTGGTGTTTTCCTTTTCAGCAATTTTTATATTTCCAAGGACAGCTCCTTAATGTATCATCAAACATAATTTACCACACTTTACACAAGTCAAATTCTTTAAGGTCACTATTTTTTTTTTTTTAAACTAGAAATCCAAACTAGAGAGCTTTAAATTGGAAATTCTCAAAGAAGTGTTATTTTACTTGTGTATCTATATGAGACGTGTGTTTGAATTTATCTTTTAAATTAAGTCATTTCTTAAATCAAGAAATATTCTGTTTCATTATTTAGAAGAAAAATAATAAAACAGAACTGTCATCAGAGTTGATTAAACTATTTTAAGGCAATTCTTACTTTTCCATTTTACTCAGTTAATAATTCATCAGGTGGGTTCTTAGTCAACTTGGACATGTATGTGTCTTACCCTCAACCAGCTCATTCATAATCTCACACCTCAGTGGGCGGAAGGATAACAAACTATTTCCTGTAATAGTAATCTGCTCGTTTCCATCCCCCTCCCCCTTGCAATCCTCAGATCCAAATAATTGTGACACCCCAGGCCTTTGACTTCACAAACAGTACTTACATTTGGGGACTCTTATTTCTTCCATGATCTCCTACTGTTTTTCTCCAGTGTTTTCATCAGAATGTACATGAGGGTTTCCAAGCACCTAGTGACTTAAAGATATCTCTTTCTGGTTTACAGCATGCCAGTAGACTGGTTACATAACATCTGAGCTCCTAAACAAAGGCCCCACACAAAACCAAGCTGGCTGCATTGCATGTTCCATCAAGTTACTCTCAAAACAATATACAGCATATGTAGTTTCTCCTGCCCATCATCCTAACCCTGATTCTGGAAATAATGTGTGTCTATCTTCTCTGTTCTCTACCCCTGGATTACTCCTATTTGTACTTTATAACAAGTATTGAAACACCCAGCAAGATCCCTGGTGAGGTGCCCTTACCACCCATCCTAACTGGTAATTGAATCTAACTTTACAACTACCATACACTATTGACATTGATCTTCTGCTCCCAACTAGCTGAGAATTCCTTAAGGGAAGATACCATATCTTATTTAACCTTTGTTCCTTCAGTTATATAACATACTATAAATGTTTGCTGGAGGAATGGATTCTGGATTTAACTTTAACCTCTCATGATAAAAGCACTGAAACTAAAATGGGAAAATATAACAAATTAAATATCTAGGACATTAAAATCTAAGAAACAAGATTCATTTCAAGTGTGTTGTCGTCATGATAATTAT